CCCCCCCCCCCACCTATTTTTTGGCAGTCCGCGCTTGGCTGCACCGCTAGGCTCGAGAAAGGCTCTGCGCCCGCTACAACGGCCCCGAGCACTAACGACGACACCATCGCGTTTGACAGCCGGGATCCAACCAACGCCGACACCCACCGCAGCCAGAGGAAAACCCAAGCTGGGACAACTACTGCCATCAGTCACAACCGGCGCCGCTCTGCATCAGCGCCGCAGCGCGTCGCGCCCTCATCAGCAACAGGCGCTCAACCCGACGACCGCGATCCAGGCAGCGGCCTCGCGGCACCATCCAGCCTCGCCGGGGACGGAACCAGTCCTTCCTCCGGGCGCTCCGCGTGGGTGTCCAGGCAGAGGGTCGGCAAGGGGAAGCAGGCGGGCCGCTTTGGCGCGGCGGCGGTGAGACTGGAGCCCCCCCTCCTACACTTCGGTGAAAGCCCGCTGTGTATCCCGACCTCGGCAACGGTGGCAGTGAAGAACCACCGGGAGAGCCAGATGACGTGAGTGGGCACGGCCGGGATGGGTGTATGGCTGGGCCCCCACTGATGAGATATTGTTTTCCTGGGCCGCCCAAAGGGGCCTGACTATAATAGTTATTTTTTCCGGCGCTGCCATTGTTGTGTAGCGTTCTTCGGAGGAGGGGGAGGAGGAGGAGGAGGAGGAGGCGCGGAGGTGGGAAACGGCTTGGCTCTTGTTTTTGTGGCACGATGGTTCAAATCCCCTCGATCCGTGAGAGAAGGAGAGCAGCTCCCTCTGCGAGCGGCAGTTGTTGTTGGGCGTGTTCGGCATCTGATTGGTCATGCTTCTTGTGCTGTCGGCCGGAGTTGTAGCTGGAGTCCCCCCCTCCCCGTTGTTCACGTGTCTATCCATCGTTATTCGCCGCCGTAAGCGGAATTTTTCGCCCCCTCTTATCCCCACCCCCCACCACGCATATCGATTGACATTCTTGTACCAGACGCGGCGCGCGCGCTTCCGTTGGGCGACGAGCAGACTGCCCGTGGAATCCCGAGGACAACCCTTCGAGGGAGCCGCCGGAGTGCTCACGGGACGGCGAGGGGTACGAGGGTGATGACGATGACGACGACGTCGACGACATGCGACAGGGGGCGGGGGGAGGCGAACGGGTCGGTTCAGGGGCGGGGGATTCATGGGTCAAGGTTGCAGCTGAAGGGGGAGGAGGCGGGGTCGGAGGGGAGGGGGAGGGGTGGGTTCGGCTCCTGTCGGTGACATCCGATAATCCTCAGTTCCACCCCGCGTCTTTCCAGCCACAGGCCCTTCCACCAGAGGGGGAGACTTCTTTCCAGGCGAGTGGGAGGGGGGGGGAGGGGGGATCCTGAAGTTGCCTGCCATGTGTTTCAAGTACCGCCCCAACTGTCCAGCGTTGCGCGCGAGCGTGTACCTCCAACCACTGGTTGTTGTAATATCCTGCAGTTGGAAATTTCTTCCCGGTGTATATTTGTGATGTTGTGTCATGTGCTATCCAACTACTGACTGACGTTGCTACTGCTGTTGAAGGTTTCCCAGGTGTCGCGTGTGTGTGTGTGTTGTTGCCGTGCACCCAGTATACCACGCGTTACACACCCTTCCGCCTCCCGCCCTTTGGCGTTTGTTTTTTGCAGGTGGTTTTTCTCCCGCAGGCAGTCGGTGCGGTGGATGCGGTGCTGACAGTGGCCACCTCTGCGGGGGATATCCGCTACAGGGTGCAGGTGGGCTTGTGTGTCGGCAGGCGTAACCGGCATCTCGTTCTTCGCGGTTGTACTCGATCAGAACTTGGGCAATTTGGTAGATATACCCATGTTGATGCACAGCCCCCTTTCGGTGCTGCTAATCTTAACAATATCCTTGTGTTGGTTTGACCCAGCAGCAGCGCTGGTATGATTATCTCTGGGACGTTTGCGCCCTGTTTGTTAGGGATAAGGTTCTCGTCCGCGCTTTAGTCTTGCCCTCGCCGGAAATAAAAGGCTTTCACGGCCCGCCATGCTTGGAACCTTGGAGGTTGCGTTTTTTTCCGTGAGCGTCTACGGAAATACGGAAGTCTGAGTGCAGTTCTTTCGCCAAACATGTTCCAATCGTTTGTCTAGTGTGTATCATACTGACTTACGACCAACGCATGCATCTCCATTGCCTTGTATACGGCTAGAGTCAGTGCTTTGACCCCTCCCCCCCGCACCCCATGGTTGTGCTACCTTGAACGGCGTGCCCAACCAAATCTTCGGTTGCAACAATTCAGGGCCCTCCTCCCCCCCCCCCCCCCCCCCCCCCCCCAAAGGCCAACGCGGTGGAAAATCCGCACAAGGTCCACCCGATCGTCGTGACCAACATCCCGGTCGGCTCCACCTACACGGGGCCCATCGCCGTCTACAATCCGCTAGACGAGGTGGTATTGTCAATCACAGAGGTAAGGGAGGACGGAGGCGAGGGTTGTGGGGAAGTTTTGCGCTTGCTGGGGAAGGGGTCGATAGTGTGTTGGTGGACGTGCTTGGATTGGATGTAGCTGTAGGGCTGGCGTCTGCCTTTTTTTTTGTCTCTTTTGAGAATCGTGTTCGTGGAGGGATGGGTGGGTGTCAGGAACTTCCGCAGTCTTGTCCCTCTCAGCACCGCAAGAAGGTTGGTAGGGCGTGCTGAATAGGGCGTGCAACAACAAAAGATGCCGCGCAGGAACATGTTTGTTTTTACCAGCACAGTAGTAGCGTGGTGAGCGCTCAGGCGGGCGCACGTTTGAGGGGGGGGGGTGCTGCACACTCGAACGGCGGGTGAACTTTTTTTTTTTTCTCCAGTCATTGGACTCTGTCGTCTGCCCCTCTGGCCCCTATCCTCCACTTCTACTAGCTAGACGACCCAACTGGACCCCGGGGTCACATTGGAGGGTGGGGCTGGACCCCCTCCTGCGGTTCCTGCCTGAGGTATTTTTATCGCGAAAAGGGTACAGTAATCCCTTCCCTCGCGACTTACGAAGTCGATTATGGTTTACTAACAACGAGTCTTGCAGCGCGTCGCTTTCATCCCAGACCAGGATTTATTTTGTGATAGAAAAACCCACTCTGCCGGGACTCGATCCCATGACCTGGCCCGTAGCAGGCTGCGAGTTTACCCACTACACCACCGGGGCGGGTGAACATGACCGTGGTCGGCTTCCCCTTTGACCCCCTCCCTCTCTTCTCTTCTCTTCTCGTCGCCCGACTTTGGTGTCAGGTGTTCACCACCGAAGGGTTTCTTCGGCTTGTTATGCCGGAGAGCTTGGCGGGAGGATCGGGGGTCGCCACCCCGAAGGTTTCCGCTAGAAAAGGCGGCGTTACGGGTGCCGGTTCGAGGAGAAACCGTCATCATCGTCATCACGGCGGCGACAC